TATCTTTCTCTCGCATAACTGACCCCCTTACCCGTTTCTCTTCCCTTTAGGTTTTATCGATATTTTCCCTGTCCTTTGGGACTAAATAAAGTTCAAACAGGTATAATCTCGCTAGCCTCAGCTGGTGATTCTGCTGGGGTGTCCTTGCGCTTGCAATTTGGGGTCTCGCCTAGTTTTGTTTGTTTTCTTGCTTTTTTGGGTGTTTATCTTTATGCTTTACTTGCTTTATGTTTATGTCATTTACTGCATTCCTTTACTGCTTTAAATATTCATATGCTGCATATTCTGGATATCTGCTATATTTTCTGCTGTTGTTGGGATGGATAGATGTTACTTGAAAGATAAGCCCACTACACAAGCTTGCACATACACATAGGATATAATCGTGGATACTCGTGACGCCTGAGTTTTATGTGTTGGGTTGTCACGAGAGCCACGTCTTAGACTGTTGTTTTGCTTGAGAATATCTTAGTCCTACGAGAAATCGCTACGGCTGAGTATTTTCACTTGATTCCGTTGGTTCGAGAGACCTTCTAGGGACCTTCTTTTGGAAGACTAGATCACACATGTGAGGGGATATTGGGTTTTTGCAGGAAACGGAGACTCCTCATACCTTTTTGTTCTCTCATGCACATCATATTTTTGCACCGACAAAGAATTATATATGCAGATATTCAGATTATGCAAAATTGATTATTCAGATTGTGCTTGGCTTCTTGATTCTTGTATTGTATACCATTTTATCATAACAATTAATTTTTTCATGTGTATTTCCAGGTTATTCGAGAGCTTATTCTTTGTTAGCATAATCATAGAAGATGAGTACTGGTTACAAGAGTATCTTTAGCTACAATTTTATGAAGCCTAAGCTGAAGACTTTGAGAGGTTTGGCACCCCATCTGGTTGAAGATAACAATGGTGTTTTCAGAGATGATTATGGTAATCTTTTGGCCATCCTCAACACTGAAGTCAACATTACTTCCATTCATACACTTGTTCAGTTCTACGACCCGCCACTAAGGTGCTTCACGTTTCAAGATTATCAATTAGCACCTACACTTGAGGAGTACTCTCATATCTTTGGGGTTGAGATAAGAAGTCAGGTTCCTTTCGTCTACACCAGCAGTTGTCCAAAGTTTCCTCTTATTGCTAAAGCTCTTTTAATTAGTAAGAAGGATGTGGAAGCCAATCTTAAGACTAAAGAAAAGGGTATTTGAAGGTTTGCTTCAAAGTTTTTGGTAGTCAAGGCCGTTTTTTTTGCTGAAGCTGGAAGCTAGAAGGCTTTCAACCCTGTGCTTGCTTTCAACCTTGATCTTCTTGTCCAATAATGTTGTTCCTGCACTTCTTGCTAATGCCTATTATTCTATTCATTCGAGGAATAAAAAGAAGAAAGGAAGCTAGAACTTGGCCGGATAACCTTTTTCGATAGGATGAAAGAATTCAGCAAGTTGAGAGAGATTGAAAAAGAAAAAAATTAACAAAAGTAAAAGGTATACCCACCCATAGATATGGATTTAGATGGTGCACATGCTTTGATACATTTTAGTTTTTATCTAACAATATATTTAAATGGTGACTCATTTTTTGTATGTAATGTTGAATTGTTATTGTCAACGATGTAATCTAGATAGAATTTAATACATTTTAATGTATATCTAACATTAATTATATAAATATTGATTGTAAAATTTTCTACATTAATGAAAAAAGTTTTTGTCTGTCACTAAAATATTCTTCCAAAATACTTCATCCGAATTTTTGGCCTTAAGAAGCCACCGAATGCATATGATATGCAATGATATGAAGATGCAAGACAGACGGTCCTGTGGAGACAAGATGCCACAGGGGAAAAACTAGACACATCATAGGAGCGACGAAAGAAACAGGCTCAACAAAACGAGACTCCACGGGGAGAGAAGACAACCAACATTGGGAAATCTCCAGAAAATAAAGATGTAATACGATACCACCAAGAGTACAGTAGCTTAAACAACGGGCGAGAAACTTGAAAGTGAAGGATACTTTACTATCGAAAAGTGGTAGCCCAGGCAAAGGTAATAACCATAATGGATTTTCTTGATCGAAACAATAATTCAGTGTTTTTTCTTAATTGAGTAATCCACTTGAAAATAGTAAAATGTGAACCTCCCCATGCTTCAAGGTTTGTATGCTAGTGAACAAGTCTCAGTTTCTTCTTCAAAAACATAAAAAATATATCAGACGCATCCAGTTTGCGATATTACAATGGTGAAAAGCATAATCATAGTAGTATTATGTTATCCAAGGTGTATTTTATAGTAGTGCTATTTTCCAATGATAATAATACTTTTATACGTGTCCTATTTTGTGACAATAATGACACTCTAGATTCTTGTATCGCGGCTTGGACTTTCTTCTACTATTCTCTCTACCACCCTTCGTTTCCTTTTTATGACTTCTCCCCCTATTTTTAGTGACAAGTACCTCAAATTAAGATAAAGAACCCCGTGACTTCCTTCTCATCTTCTCATTAATAATACCACCCTTAGCCATTTCCAAAGAAACAAGACCTTTAGGAGAAGAACTTGTCATAGAAACCCGAAACTTCTCCCAAGACTCAGGTAAAAATAGTAATAGAAATAATCTCAAAAGTTTATCATCAAATTTGCTACTCATTCTTGACATCTGTTCAAGGAGCCCTTGAAATTCACTTAAGTGATATGAAATAGAAGTCCCCTCCTTATACTTTAAACTTATGAAATTAATTAACAAGAACAATTTATTATTCCTTGATTTAGAGGCATACAAGGACTATATATTCTCCCATACAGTTTTTGCATGTATCTCATTAGCGATATGATTATAACATTATCTTCTACATATTGTCGAATAAAACCACATACCTGTCGATGTTCAAACTCTTATTCTTCGTCACACAAAATCCGACATCACAAAACTAAAAACTAGTAAATGCAATTTCTTCATAAATAGTAAGTCTTTCATCTTGCCCTTCCATAAATGGTAATTAGAACAATTCAACAATACGACCTTCATCTTTGTATTTGACTTCATCATTCAAACAAGTAAAATAGCCCATAACCAAGAGTTATGATGTAAATCTAATAGGAAATTAAGACACAATAATAGACCAATACACAGCGGATATAATTTCAACAATTTTACCCTTTAAAAAATAGAGTAAAATATAATTTCATTTATATAATTAATAAAATTTTCATAAATAAATATTTAATGTGTTTGAAAATTTGAGTGAGATCCTACAAAATAAAGAGAAACAATTTCTTTTTAAAACCTGTTATATTTAAATTTGTTATTTAATATATTCTAGATTATATTTCTAGAGGATATATATATATATATATATATATATATATATATATATATATATATATATATATATATATATATATATATATATATATATATATATATATATATATATATATATATATATATATATATATATATATATATATATATATATATATATATATATATATATATATATATATATACTCTAGAAATATAATCTAGAATATTGATATATGTTATAAATTTTATTTGCATAATTTTTTTTAAAATTCAAAATATCCTATAATATAAAATACAACAATTAATTTTACAAATTTAATAATAAAAATAAATAAAAAAGGAGAAAAATGTGGCAATATTAGTTCAAATGTGTGAGATTTTAAAACTATTGAAAATAATTTTGGTCAAAATAAATACAATATATAACACTATTAAAATAACTTTGGTCAACATAACAATGTTATTTATAGTATTTAAAAAATAATAATAATAAATTGAATATATTTTAAAAAAACTTATCATTTAAATTTATTTTATCCTTGACTTTATAGAATTTTAAAAATTTATTTAATCACTTGCCATATTTTCAGAGAGCCGGCAAGTGGACGGTAGGATTAGAATTAGCCTGGTTGAATTATTATGTCACAAGATCATATATCAAAATTTTAAAAAGAGATAAAAAAATGTGACGATATTTGTTGAAATGTGTGAGAATTAAATACTATTAAAATAATTTTAGTAAAATAAAGTATAATATATAACACTACTAAAATAACTTTGGTCAAAATAAAACATATTATTTATGTATATAAAAGAATTATAATAATGCATTGATTTTGTTTTTCATTTTTTATCATTTAACTTTATTTTAGTTTTGACTTTATATAGAATTTCCTAAATTCGTTGAATCACTTGGCATACTTATCCAGAGGTTTAATCATTAATTTATTATGAGAAATCATATTCAGATATTATAAATAGTGGTCTGTGTATCTAACTTGTTCACCCACTCTCACTCTCAAAACTATTAACTCCATTCTTCTTCCAAACATCACATGGTCCTCAAGAGGTGAGCCAAAAATTATGTATCTACCATTTTCAATTGTCTTTGCTTTTTAATTTTCAGTTTCAACTTTTATAAGTTATTTAATCACAACAATTTTTCTTTTCTTTTTTGGATTTTTTACTTTCGCTTTTGATGTTCTTTTATTCCAAAATACAAGCTACAGCATTTTATCAATGACATGATTGTTGTGTCTTTTTATTTCACTCTCAAGTTTTTTTTAATCAGTTATTCAACTACTCCAAAATTTTATTTTTTGTAGCATTTTTTAGTTTCATTTTGATTTTTTTTATGATACTTATCAGTTATACAATTTAATAGAGTAATTAAGTATAAATCTATATGTATTTTGTGTTTAGATTATTGAGGATTCAACAAAGGTTTTTTACATAAATTTTTGTATTTAAATAGGATGATCTTACCTTTAATTAAAAAATATGAATAATTAATTTAGCTAAGAATGTCTGGAAGTGAAATTAATATTCTCATTAACTTTCCCATGGTTGGAGTAAATAAATGTTAAAGTTTTGAAATTGAGAAATTTTCCCATTATCTTAAAAAAAAAGTTAAAATATGTAAATGTTTTATATTATTTGTGTTGACCTAGTAATATTTCAGATTCAAAATGGATGCAAATTCTGCAATCAATAACAGCAAAAACCTCCAAATGGAAGGAAATGTTGAAAGCAATAGTAGATTATCTGATCTACCTGATGAAATTTTGCAAAAGATTTTATCAAATCTTCCAACAAAAGAAGCAGTTGCAACAAGTGTTTTATCAAAAAGAATGGTGGATCAATGGATGAACATCAATAAAATCGATTTGAACTTTGATGAAAGTGCCCCTGAGAAGCGACAACGTTTCATAGAGTTTATCGATAAATTGCTTGTGGTTTTAAATATTTCAAAACTAAAAATATTTTCGCTCTCCTTTGAAGTTGGCGAGGAGTTTCCAATGGTTAACAAATGGTTAAGTGTTTTTGCCAATTCTATGATTGAAGAACTAAACCTTGAACTTGAAAGAGTTACCAAACCATTGGTTCTTCCTAATCACTTTTTTACTTCTAATAAATTGACCAAGTTTCAACTTAGTATGAGACAAGTCATGAATCTTCCTTCTACCATTCATTTTGAAAATCTTGTGACATTGACTTTGAAACATGTCATATTCCCTAATAGCCATAGCACATCAGAGTTTTTCTCTAATTTGCCATCCATGAAGGAACTGTCCTTAATTGATTGTAACTGGAAGAAGGTTGAAAGCATCTTCATCAACTGTCCATTGCTTCAAAAACTGTTTGTTAGGGATTGGAAAGACGACGACAACGAGGAAGAAGAACATGATCATGATGTTGTATTACAACATAGGAATTACTCTTACATCAAAATAGCGATCATGGCAAGTAAACTGGTAACTTTTATATATGATGGTGATCTCATACATGATTATGCTTTGTTTAACACAACTTCAGCCACTGATGCAACCATTGAAGCTCATGAACAACACAATAAAGTGTTAGCTGCTGATTATTATGTGTACACACTTCTCAAAGAACTCTTTACAGTAAAAAAGTTATCAATCTCTAACTTTGCTCTTGAGGTATGAGATTTTATCATCCAATTTTTTATTTATTTAAACACCCTTTCGAATCATTTTAATTTTGATTATTTTTATGAATACAGGCTCTAGGTCAGACATCATCTTTCGCAGCAAATCTATCTATATTTTTTCGTCTGCTTGTTCTTCATGTGATTTCATCTTCACCTATGGATTTATCCTGTCAAGGATTGCAAGCCCTCTTAAGAATCTCACCTATTCTAGAAGAAATTGTGTTTGAGCTGGTAATTTAGGTCAACTATGAATTAAAAATTGCATATTTTATGATATAAATGTGTTTAGCTAATATACATTGCAAAAATATTGCAGGGGGTTATGCTAGATGAAAGCGGTGCAAACGCCATTAATTTATTACCAACGTGCTTTTTGACACACCTTAAAATTATTAAGATATATAATTTTTGTGGGAATGAAGAAGAGATAAATGCTATAAAGTATTTGCTAAACACAACACTGGTGTTGGATTTATTGTATATTCAATACAATGAATCACATTTTGACTCTCCCGAAGGATCAGAAAAGTTACAGAGATTCTTTGATCAAATTGATGAGTTTCCTAAACTTTCAAGGGATTGTGTTATTGAAATAGAATAAAGAAGAAGAGGAAAGGGAAATATAATTAGATTGAATTGTTGGGTTGGTTAAATTTCAAAGTTCATTTCTTATTGTAATAAAGATTTTAATTTTATTATAAGTAAAATAAATATTGCATAATAAGTATTACCTTTGTTTAAAACTTTATTTCAAAATAATTGTTATATACAATTATCATTACAATATTTTTTTTTCATTTATACCATATAATTAATATGTTTTCTTATGAATTTGTTAAAATACCCTTTGATTTTAAATATATAAAAAAAGATATATGTATTTTTTTAGAAGTAATTATCTTTGTACGCAACTGTGAAACAAATCCTTTGAATCTTATGAAATCAATATATAGCGAATTTTTTTTTAAAATATTTTTATTGGAGTTACATATACAAATTAAAATTCAAACTCCGAAACTTAATTAAAGTAGAAAAGTCGTATTATCTTAACTTAATGTTTATAAATAAAAGATAAATGCACTTAGTCCTTAGCTTCCAAAAAAGATTTATATTGAAAAACATATATGTTTAAAGATGCCATGCGAATAGTTTTATCACAATCCTTTAGTATGAGTGCATAAAATAAAATACTTATAACGTGTCTCGTCACTATAAGAAACATTGCATTTTCCCAAGTGATTTTTACGTCACTAACTCAAAAACCACTATCCTTTAATATGTTTTATAATAGTGACATTGTTTGCACTTCACTATAAAATTTAATAATAAAAAAATAAAAATAAATATTAAATAAAAACAACTATAAAATTAAAATAAATATTAAATATTAACTATAAAATTTAAAAAATTAAAATAATATACATTAAAAAAAATATAAATATTTAGTTACATGAAATTCAAGTCACAAATATAAAAATGTTTAAACTAATATGCATGTTAACATGACAAACAACTCATATTCATCTTCGATAGAAGGTAAAAAAAGTTGTTATCCATATTCAGGGTCAATGAATGGTATCACACCCACATGAATAACATGATTCAACCGATGAGACTCCTATCATTTAGTTGTTAGACCATAATGAAGAAGAAAAATAGTGAAATATGAATGAAACTATTCTTTAAATATTCACTCTCTTAGTTACGTAGAAACGTTCTCTATTTTCTAAAAAAATGAATTATACTTAAGTATGATTTTTGTATATAAATATTTAATTAATGTCATAATTTCAAAAAGTATATGTATCTATATAATTGATTTAGTCTAAAACATATTAATAAACATTTTCACTTTTTATTTATAGAAATCGAAACGATATCAACCCTCTTAGTTTCTTAAAAAATATTTCATTTCTACTTATTCTAAAAATATATATTTTACTACAAATTATTTTTATTTTTTTCTTTCAACAACAACAACACAATAAATAAAAATAATATTTATAAAATATCAACAAAAAAATATCAACAACAACAAAAATATAAATATTCTAAAATTTTATAATATATCAACAAAATAATATATCAACAACAACACAACACAATAATATATCAACATAAAATGTAAAATTTTCTTCTTAAATTATATTTCATATATCACCAAAATCTCAAAAATAAACTAATTGAAATGCTTAAATACCTCCATGTGCTAACTCTATCAAATCTTCCAATTGAACTTCTTAAATCCTAGATCTGAAAAAAAAAATCAACAATTAATAATTAGATAAACATAAAATAAACGGTAAAATATTCACAAAAACAACCTATAGACCAATCACCATAAATTTTTTGTGAAATTTTCTTTGAAAATGGAGTTGTGATGGAGGCAGTGGTAAAGGAAGAAGAAAGCAACAAAGGAATGAAACGAGATGTTGCTGAAAGAAAATTTTGTGAATTAACATATAGGGATTCTTGTGACTTTGTGAACACGTGGGTAGGTATACACGTGATTCCACGTCAGAACAACAATCATCTTGGGCATTTGCGACGTGCGTTCCTGTGGGAAGTTACCTCCCAAGTCCGAACATTTCCAAATGCAATTATGTTTCAAAAATATTGTTCAAAATAACCAAATCAATTGACATTCAACGTCACTTTATCACAGAACTTGTATAAGAAAAAATAATTTTCCTTGATTATGTTATCACGGACAAATAAATTGCAAATATTTTCGTAAAAGTACTATAGACTATTTAGTTTGAAAAAAAATTAGATATACCTTAGGGCATTGCATTATTGATTTATAGCAATTAAATTATGAATGAATAAAATGCAATTGGGCCCAATATATTTCTTGCAAGCCCACTTGTATCAAGAGGAATGCTGCATGTTTACTTTGCCCCGACACGAATGCAAAATCTCGTAATATTCAAGAAGAAAATAATCACTTTAATAAAGTGTCAAACATCAACATTGAACAAAGTTAAAATTGTCTTTATTTTTTTTATATCATCATTCATCTTATATATTACTTAGAATCTCATAAAATATCATTTAAATTTAAACTAAAATATTTTCAAATTTAACGCATAAAAAACCTATGAAAGTCTTGCCTTAACAAGTTGTTTTCAAGTGAAAAACCAGTTTTCAAGTGCTGTTAGGAAACATGTGTACGAATATCACCTCATTGTATTTGAATACAAGTGTCAAAATTAAAAGATTTGGAATGTTGCAGTGTGGTATTCAAATACACGAGTGTTGTATCTGGATACAACCTAAACAAATATTTTTTTCTTGAACCAGAATCACTATATTGATTGGCAATACTTCATGAAACCTTTTTAAACATATGAAATCATTAATAAAGATTTCTAAGTGTGTATAAATTATGTTTTAACATAAATAATTAACAACTTTTACATTATCAAAGATCATTTTCAAGAAACATTTTTTCTTTATAATGGTCTGAAACTTATAAACATTCAAAAATAATAAAAGTTTCAAAACCGAAACAGAATCTGAGCAATTAATGATATACTTTGAATTTTGATATTGAGAAAATAATATCTATAATTCCGATATTGGATATTACAATTCATTAGCCAACTACATTCTTCATTCTCAACAAAGTTTAAGTATTTATATCTTTCATTATAATGTGTTGGTGAAAGGTGTTTATAAATAGAAAGTGATGTACTTTCTGGTTTTTTTGTAAGGATCATCATAGTATTCGGTGATTATTGACAATGTTCTTTGAGTCGGAGAGATTCAAAGTCCACCAAAGGATTTGATATTTATGTATGTATTAGAAGGCTGTAAAGAGGTATTGGTGAAGACTTGTACATGAATCTAATCTAATGGAAAATTTTCTAAGTAGTAGAAGGACTAGATGCACCCTTGGTTGATAAGGGAAACTAGTATATTTCTCTTGTGTTCTTTATCTTTATGCCTTTAAAATTCTGCACCTTAAATTCATCTTAAAGCAACATTTAATAATTTGCTTCCGGTAAACATTGCATAAAAACGAAGTTAATAAACATAACATAAAAACGAGAAAAGTCTAACAATACTAATTCACCTCCTCTTAGATTGTCTCTCATAGTTATACGATGTGCATTAGTGTAGGTAATACCATGTGGTTCAAACAAAGTCTCATGATTTGAGAGATATTGATTTTGAGCAGGTACGTATGGTAAGACTTCTTTGTGTGAAGATACATATGGTATCTCAATATTGGAGCTATGAGACATGTATTACTCAGTACATATTAATGGTTGAGTTGTAGTAGCAGTTAATGGTGACACATGATGAAGTGTGTGTGAGTTGAGAGTAGTAGAACTTGTACTATAATGCATAATACATTTAAGGTTAATATAAATATGATGATGACTAGTATGACAAGTGTTGGTTAATGTCATAGGATTATAAATACGTAGTTACTAGAGAATGCACATTATAGCCAATTGGTTTTGTCAACAGTAGATATATGCTCAAAGAATTTTTATGTAAGTTATTTATACTAGAAGGAAATAAAATGGGATAAGAAAACTTACATTTATTGAAGGAAACTTTTTTGAGATGAAGACTCAACCATCTTTGTAAAGGAATTTATAAGCTTTTGTGTTAGGGTGAGAACTATTAAAAAACACATTCCTTACTTTTGAATTGCTACTTATGTCTATTATAAGACTTGAGAAGAGGGAAGCATAAGCAACCAAATACTTTAAGGTATTTATAGTTAGCTGGAGCTTTGTGCAAGACAAAGTAATGTGAGGACGAGTTGAGCAGGCTTGTGGTAGGAAGTATATTTATGAGGTAGACTAACATGATAAAGTTATGGTCTCAATAGGCAAGAGGGAGAAATACATGCACAATAAGAGTCAGAGCCATCTTCATAATCTACCTATGTTGTCTTTCAACATAACAATTTTGGTGCGATGTGTGTGGACAAGTTAGTATATGCATAATGCGTAGCTCATTCAAATATTTAGTGAAATGCCTACATTCACCACCAAATTCAGAATGCACAACTTTAATGCTAATTTTAAACTGAATATGATCATAAACAAGAAACAACTTAAAAGCTTTCTTCTGTATATGGAATTGGGATAATTGATCTTGATGGAAACTGAGAACTAACCGTATATTTTCTCATAGAAATTAAATGATATTGTCGGGTTGTTATAAATACTAGCAATAAGGAATAATTATTTGTGACGTCAGGTATTTTAACGTTCAATAAAACCTTCATAGGATGCTATAATATTCTCCCAGGAGCGTTGGGAGGTCACAGAGACAAAAGCACATTACTTGGCGATCAATTAGTTGAGTAACCGTGTTTTGGAAAATAGTCTGATTTTTTACGTGCCATAAAACCTTCGTAGGTTTTGATAACATTCTCACGGACCCTGAATGGACACAACAAACATAGTTGTTACTTGACAATAAATTTGTTGAGTACCATGTTTTGTAACAGAGTCATAATTTAAAAAATATTCATTATAGGTTCAAATTGTTGGGTCATAATTCTTTGGGGGTAACCATGAGGGAGCAGTTTTACATTTGACCCTTTCTTTATGAGCAACATACCTTATTAGAGACACACCACATACTTACTAAAAACCTTAAGATAATAGGTGTGTAAGTTCTCTCACTTATAAAGTAACAAATATCCATTTTTCTAATTAATGTGGAACTTCCCCACACTTTACTTCTCAACACTTCCAACTCACACTTGTTTTTGGACTTTCGATATAAGGAAGTTGATCTCTTACTTCAACCAGACTTTGATACCACTGTTGAGTCATCAATTCAATAAGGGTCATTATGAGGGAGAAATTTTACATTGGGACATTTATTTATGAGCAACACATCTTGTGAGAGACACACCACATACTCACCTAAAATCTTGAGGTGATATGTGTGTGAGTTCTTTCACTTATAACGTGTCAAATCTCCATTTTTCTAATTAATGTGGGACTTTCCCACACTTAGTTTCACAACACTTCCAACTCACACTTGTTTTTCTCAACACAAAATGGGTTAACCACGTAAAAGGGCAAAAGATTTGAATATAGGAACTTAATCATTTTAATAATAATGTTTCTTCACTACAAGAATACTTTAATAACTTTATAATTAGCACACAACTCAACCAGTCGCGCTCCACGCACCCTTCGTTACAATTGTAATTCTCACATTTATGATAACAAGTACAATAGCCTTAGTCTTGTCAAACTAACAACAATCCATGTGGATTCAATAATTTTATTCACACTTTATGAGTTTTTTTTGGCACAACTATTAGGATCGATTTAATGTTCAACACTTTGATTCAAAGAACAAATTCAGAGACGAAGCGATTCATTTTCTTGGTTGTTTTCAGTTGTGTGCATAGTTGGCACACACATGCCTTCATGATTGCATTGAAATTGTTTTCAGTTCTATGCATAATTGGTGCACACACGCCCTCATGACTACATTGATTTTTTTTTTTTTATAGTTTTGTATGCAATTGGTTACAAATGCCATTTGAAATTGTTGATAGCAGACATATAAATAGAGTTTGATCTTGTATGATCCATGTTTCATTCTCTTCTAAGATGAAATTATTGAGATAATCTAAGGAATTTCTAAATTGACAACATATCCATGAATCTCATGCTTCAGAATCACACCTTCAACTTATTGGTCCATAACAAGAAATTATTATCTTAAAGCTTTATGAAGAACTTTGGACCAAATGAGTTTGAAGATGACGATTTTTCAAATAGAGATCGTTTGTGACAAAGACCAGTTCTTTGAAATAATAGACGATTCATCAACATTTCCAATTATTTGAAGATTGAACATAACAAGTGTCAAGGAAGAAGATGAAGGAGAATTTGCTAGCAGAAGGTAGGGAATCGACGACAATCAATATTATGTTAAATTAATATGAATCTCTAATTCTTATTTCATTCATTCAAAAACTGAATTTTATAATTGGATTATCTTCTCGATATATAAATGAATGTTAAAGTTGGTTGAGTTGTAATAGAGTCCTAACTACCACGATTCAGCAATTCAAACAGACATTTCTAATAATTCATAATAATTTTTGATATGAAATGAAAATAACTATTCCATAAATTGTAATTTTACAATTAAGACACATATGATTAGTTTCTTCAGAGTAAAAAAAAATACATACTGTATATTGGTTTTGGTCTATCCTATTGATTACATAAAATAAGATAAGTTAATCTCTATATTAAACTTACCATTTTTTTTTACCGAAAGTAATTCATATTATTATCAAATAAATTCATAATATAGAAGGATAATGAAAATCACTACCAAGAATATAAGAGATAGATGTCCTTGTCAAAATATAAGCACTATCATTAGCTTGTTACTTAGGAAAAATATCTTTGAAGTTATTGTGTCTCTTTAAAATATCTCAACAATCATGAATAATAAAGTCATATTTTAACCTATTATAAATTTTATGAATATCATCAACCACTTTTTTATAATCTAACTCGTAAATGACATTCGTAAAATCCGTTGACAGAGTCCATTGCAGCGCATTCTACATGCTCCAAAGATTAAATTTACTAAAATAAATAAATTATTGTATTTCACAAATTTAAACAAAAAAATAGTGTGCAAATTCAAAATTCAAAATTTCCAAAACGGCGTCGTTGTACTTTTTTGCTGTCAAAAGAGTAGTAGATTTAACTTCCTCTTTTAGTCTCTACCACCATTCTCATTCACAATTCACTTTCAAATCAAGTCTCTTTCTTTTCTTCTTCTTCTTCATTCTTCAAACAAATGGCGTTTTTCCGTTTCTCTCTTCTTTTCACTCTCTTCTTTTCTTCCATTCTCTTATTCAATCACTACGTCAAATGCGACAACGGTTAGTTACTCTCTCTCACGCTCAATTTTTCTTGCATTACATTTTGGTAGTTTCTTTGTAGGTAATGTAGATCTAGATCTGATTCCTAATGCGCTTTACTATTCGATTACGAAATTATCTAGGCTTCGGTGAAAGTATTAATTACTCTAGATTTTGATGTTGATTTTGAATTTTCATTTTCAAGTGCATCTTGCTATAGTTAGTAACCTAAAATTGATGGTGTTTTTATTCTAATTTATTGATTTGTGAGTTGGTAGATCTATTAGATGATTATGATTGAGTAATCTAGATGTTTGTAAATACAACTATAATGGAATTCATTGTTAATTAATTGCTTAAAACTTTATAGTGATTTGGTTTAATGCAGTGATGAGATCAGATTCATTGAAATTTTGAATTAATTTGTAGAATAAATACATATATTATTAAATAATGTAGTGACCTAATTGGTTTGATTTGCTGAAGAATTTAATCAGAGAAGATTTATGTTCCATTGAAATCTTTTGTGCTTCTTTTTCGTTACACACATATAAACATGTAGATAGATTTATGATCTGTTTGGATTTACTTGTTTGAACTTATTGTTGTCATAAACACTTATGAAACTGTTTAAGAGAACGATCCATAATTAGTTGGTTTTAGCTAATTTTTATAACTGTTCCATGATTAATAGCCGATGAAATAGGTTTGACTGACTTTATTTTTATCTTTTGTTAGTTTATAGAAATAGGTTCATTGATAATGTTTTATGTTGTAAGCGCATGATTAAACTGCTTATCAAAACAAGACCAAGGTGTGTTTGGATTACAGTTTGGAAGTACTCAAACTCATGCTTGAGGGAATTCATCTTCCTTGGTTGGTTGAGTCAAGAGTAAGTTGGACCTCTTTCAAGCTGAAATCGAAACATACTTAGTCCTGTTATTATAATTGGCTTAATTTGATGCTTATAGCATAAGCACTTATATGAATAAGCTATTTCTATAACACATGTAAAGTAAAGTCAAACTTTTTCTTGTAAGCAATTCTGGAGAGCTTATGGAAATAAATTGAAAACAATTTATAAACATATTAGAAGCTGTTTTATTAGTTCTCCGAAGCAATCTCATGCTTATTTCATAAGATAAACTCAAATAAGCCTTTTGAAACAAGCCCTAATAAACGTGTTCATTGAAGCCGGCCTCTTACGGTTTAGAGTTTAGGGTTTTCTTGTAAGCTATCTTGAAGAGCTTATGAAAATAAGTTGAAAACAATTTATAAAGATATCACAAGTTGTTTTATTAGTTCTCTGAAACAATCTCAAATAAGCCTATTGAAACAAACCCTTAAAAATGTGTGCATTGAAGCTGACCCTTTGGAACTTTACTTACGTTACCTTAACATTCCACTGCAGATGAGGAAGATGTGCTTTTTCAGGGAGTCAACAAGTACCGTGCATCATTAAACTTGACTTCTCTAACAAAGAATGATAATGCCGATTGTTTTGCTGAAAAATTAGCTGATCAGTTCAAGAGTCAACCCTGTACAAATACCACAGGTGCCAATACAGTGCCAGGTACTGAACCTAACCTCTCCATCTATCCAGACCTTTTAACAAAATGCCACTTAAATATTTCTGACACAAGGGATGGATCTATAATGCCGGTTTGTGTTCCTGGCCTTGTTCCGAGCATTGTCCTCTCCAATTTCACACAATCTCTCTACTCACAAAGTCTCAATGACTCAAAGTATACTGGAATTGGTATTGGTTCCGAAGATAATTGGATCGTTGTTATACTGACCACAAACACTCCTGGTGGAAGCTTTGTTGCCGGGACTTCTAATGGTGCCAATTTTATCAGCAAAATTGGACTGGTTTTCTCCTCAATCCTCTTGTTAGCTGTTAGCATTATCCTGTTTTGAGCAACAGGATGCTGTTCTCTATTCTCATTTTATTCAGGACAGTGATCAGGAATGCTACTATATCAGTATGGAAGAAGTGCATATAATGAATGCACTTGATTTTCAGTAAAGCATAGAGAGATTGTCGAATAATTGTTGCTTTGATATTGGCAACTGTCTGTGAAATGCGAGAGAAGAAAAATAAGAGTATAGGACTACAGGAGGAAATAGAGTTTTTTCCCACCAGGGTTGTTATCTTACTGTTATGGCTATCATAAACAAAATCATTGTTTCAGAGCATTAAATTTTCTTAATCAGAACAGGAGCCAATAAATTGTTCCATTGATGACAACTCAAGAGTATTTTAATTTCAAATTTGAAACTTTATTGCTTATTTGATGTTGAGATTGCCTAGTACGTAGTTCCAAAGTCATGTAATTCAGTTCCCCATGTGCCCTTTTTAATTCATATTTTTTCATCAACATATTCTAACTTTGAAGTTCAAAAAGCAATGGCTTTTTCGGGACAGATAGATAAATCCAGTAGGGCGGGGTGTTTAAAGAAAATGTTTGGGGGGTGTTTAAAGTGGCTCTAGTAATGATATCTACATTATCACGTCCCATAACTTTTATATTTAAGTATGAGTGAAAATATATCAGGTGAGACTCTCATAACTTATTTAAAAGACTATTTAATTAACTGATAAAAATATATTAATTAAATTAATATAATTGTTAATCAATAACTTATAATACTATGACACTACAAAGAATGTTCGAAGGATACAGAGAACGCTCAAAGGATAGGTGGGAATAAAGTCTTGCTTCTTTTATACACAGATTCTTGATAACTAAGGTCTTTTTTTATCAAATAACTAAGATTTGTATATAAATGCAGCATGACATTTTCTGTAAATACATATTTATGATAACTATTTTTTACAAATGTTTTGACGTGGAATGTAAATTATTCTTCCACTGTATAGTTCAATATGCTTTTGATGTGGGGCATAAATTTTTTATATAGGCACCTATACATTATTTTTCTTTAAGTCCCACATCAAAATTTTTGTAAAAGATAGATAACAAAAAGTTTATATATATATATATATATATATATATATATATATATATATATATATATATATATATATATATATATATATATATATATATAACATGACATTTCTGTATATAAATGCAGCATGCCTTTTTTCTTTAATTGAACTTCTTTAAATTAATAATAATATTATTTTGAATTAATTTATTGATGATTAATGATTAATTAATTAATTTATGATTCAATTAATAATTATCATATTATTTATTATGATAGCTGCATTCCTCTACTAAAAGTTAGGGGAAATTCTTTCATTTCTTGGTTAGCATCATTGGTTAGCTAGGACTCTCTTTCCTCACATGCTATTCGAAGCTGGAATATGATTTTAGAGCAATTGGGTGATTGGTCATATTTCGGGTTAACACGAGAGATTTTTATTTTAGAGTTTTTCTTTTACGAGCAATACATTTTGTGAGACACACATTATCTATTCATTCAACATCTTAAGGTGATAGGTGTGTAAAATTTCCAACTTTTATATATATATATATATATATATATATATATATATATATATATATATATATATATATATATATATATATATATATATATATATATATATATATATATATATATATATATATATATATATATATATATATATATATATATATATATATATATATATATATATATATATATATATATATATATATATATATATATATATATATATATATATATATATATATCAAATTTTCATATTTCTTACTAATGTGAGACTTTTTCATATTACTCACACTTGTTATTCTCAACACTCTCTCTCAAGTGTGAGTATATCCATAATGCTCTCTCTTAAGTGGAAGTTATTTTATCCGCATACAGTTATACCGCCGTTGACACTTTTCAACGGGTTATTGTGATATATACATGTATAGTGTAATTCAGTTTTAACAATTCAATACAATTACTTCTCTCTCTCTCTCTCTCTCTCTCTCTCTCTCTCTCTCTCTCTCTCTCTCTCTCTCTCTCTCTCTCTCTCTCTCTCTCTCTCTCTCTCTCTCTCTCTCTCTCTCTCTCTCTCTCTCTCTCTCTCTCTCTCTCTCTCTCTCTCTCTCTCTCTCTCTCTCTCCCCACTCAAGTGCATTAACATTAACAAATCGGTAAGTAAAGCTTTTGTTTCGTTTTCTTGATCATGACTTCAAGAACTACACATTGATTGTCGTGTTTTCGGGGATCGTGAATCATGTTTGCTGCAAAGATGAATGGTAGCAATGATATTCCTAATTCTCTTCCAATTCTTGATGGCAAAAATTGAATCTGATGGAGAAAATAGATGCAATTATTGTTTGGTTTTCATGAAACACTGGAAGTGATTATTAATGGTGTCCCTGAGCTTGCTAATAATTCAAACAAGGCTTAGAGAATCAATCACAAGGATGCCAAGAAAAAAGATTGCAAGGCTACATTATGTATTCAATCTGCAGTATATACGACAAATTTTGATCGTATTTCCCATGTTGAATCAGAGAAGAAGATATGATCTTTGAGAATAGCCTGTTCATTTATGTTGAAAAGTGGTGCATATTTGGATTACACTAATAAAATATGTGGGTAATAAAGGGGCAAGAAACTGCTTCACTTGCCACATGTTACCTACGGCTTTTCCTCTATGCTTCCAAAATTAAGAATAATTTGGATTATTGCACCTTAATTTTCTCTAGAAAGAAAACATTAAAAATTCCTTATTAAATCTTTTTGTTCCTTGGATTCATTTTCAAATTAGTGTTTTGGTCAAAATTATCACAAAAGTTGCACCTTTTAAAGGACTAAAGTTAATGATAAGACGTTTTGTGTTGGTGGAGGCAAGAAAATCTTTTCCTTTTTTGTTTATATTTAGTAGCATGCAGAACGAAAACCTTTAGATGTAAGAAATCATCAAGAAAAAAGATCATGAAAAAGTTGTCATTTATTTCTGTGGTAGACATTTAAGTGGTTTCACCCTCAGTAACAATTAAATGAGATAGATTTTGTAGATTTGTGGCATTGCATAAAATAAATGTTTTTTCTCAAATTGATCTTGTCGAGCCATTATTTGGAGTGTAGTATAGTATATTCCAAACTTAATTACTGTTTAAGAATGTTATTTAACACATCAATATTTTTTAAAAAAATTTATAGTTTACGTCTAAGCTTTTAAATAATTTATAATTGAAAGAACTATGTTGAAACAAAAATATCTAAAATGATTAAATCATTATACAAGTAAAACACAAAAAAAAGTTGGACGTATTTAGTATATTTTATAAACAATATAAAAACTACTTACTAAAATATCAGTTTTTTTTAAATAACCATTTTTTAAAAATAATTATATTTTCATAAATATATAATCATAATAGTCAAAGATATAACGCATGCATTCATTATATATATATATATATATATATATATATATATATATATATATATATATATATATATATATATATATATATATATATATATATATATATATATATATATATATATATATATATATATATATATATATATGATGGTGCATGCTTATAATGATAGTTAAAAGATGTAAGTAAAGATATATTTATCGTAGGTATAACCTGAAATATTTATCCCTACGGCATTTTATCGTAAGTACAACAAATTATATAAAATACCACCCGAATAAGTATTTCGTGTTATATATGTGATAAATAGACTTTTATCAACGTTTTTAAAATATTACTATAAGCATGCATCATACTCTCTAATTACTTTTCAGTGATTTTTTTTTAATTTAAAATATGGTTACTATGGTGTATTTTTTTAAAATTAGATTATTTTGGATTTAATTATAAAAAAATTCAAAATATTAAACAAATATAATTTATACATTTTATTGTTATTGTTGTATTTTTTTTTTGAATAAACTATATCGATGATTGTTATTGTTAAGTATTAACAAGTGTGAGTAGTGTGGATAATAGTCATACATTGGATAGGAATGTGGTGACTTGAGCATTTATAAGTGAGAGAACACATACTATAGTCTATTGTGTTTTTAGGTTAGTAATAAAAAAAGCAAAAACTTTGGGATGATGAAGAAAAATATTGAATATTTTTAGATGTAATATATTTACATCTGATTTACGATAATTCAATGTGAAAATGGTCAATATCAATAAACTTTAGCTTGATTGTTTATTTAAATTTTTACCTATATTATAAAAAATATATGTCGTGGATTATAGTCTTTTAACTTTGTTTTTTAGTAGGGAAAAAAACTAATAAAATTTTATCGAGTAGAAAAATAAAATGTAATTAATTTTTTACATCGACTATAGTCTATTGTGTTTTTAGCTTAGTAACAAAAAAAAAAGCTAAAAATTTGGAATGGTGAAGAAAAATATTGAATATTTTTAGATGTAATATATTTATATTTGATTTACGATAATTCAAAGTGAAAATGGTAAATATCAATAAACTTTAGCTTGATTGTTTATTTTAATTTTTACCTATAGTAAATAAAATATATGTCGTGGATTATAGTCTTTTAACTTTGTTTTTTAGTGGGGAAAAAACCTAAAATTTTTTTATCTAAGTAGAAAAATAAAATGTAATTAATTTTTTACATCAACTAGAGTCTATTGTGTTTTTAGCTTAGTAATAAAAAAAAGCTAAAAATTTGGGATGGTGAAGAAAACTATTGAATATTTTTAGATGTAATATATTTATATCTGATTTACGATAATTCAAAGTAAAAATGGTCAATATCAATAAACTTTAGCTTGATTGTTTATTTTAATTTTTACCTATATTATATAAAATATATGTCGTTGATTATAGTCTTTTAACTTTGGTTTTTTGTTGGGAAAAAACCTAAATTTTTTTGATCGAGTAGAAAAATAAAATGTAAATACTTTTTTACATCTACTATAGTCTATTGTGTTTTTAGCTTA